CTCTGGCCGTTGGAATTCAAGGCTTGCTTCTTGTGGCCGGACGACGCGGTTGCCATGTTCGCGAGTGAAATTAAGGGTGAGATACTGAGGGAGATCTTAGGGCCGACTGAGGATTTTAAAAAAGAAAGTTTGGCTGCAAAAAAATCTCGATGGAACTGCTGAAATTAGAGCATCTACAATGTATTGGGTCTAGTCTTTCCTATGTGTCATTTAAATAAACCCAAGTCTTGGATGACATGGATAAAAGTATGTAAAATTAATAAAACTTACTCCAATGCAAAGAGACTAGGTCTCTACTTGGGTCTAAAATAGACTTAAGGGTAGACCGAGTCTCTTTTTCTGGCTGACACATCAGCAAGACCCAGTTTACTTTTGTTTGCATTGGAGAATACATTTTTGTAGACTAAGTCTATTTCTTATGTGTCATACAATATTTTGTGATTGAACCTAAAGCATTGTGGATGATGCCGAAAATTTTGCAGAGGAGATTTCAGAAGAGATGACCATTCTATTCGGTAATTATCTCTTCTTTTTCTTTTCCTTTTTAATCTTATTTTCTTTGCTGTTTAATTATTTGCTTACTTAATGACCGCATGTCGCAACGCGGCAAATTTAAATTTATAAAGTTTCCTTAACAAACCTCTACTAACTAGTAGTAGCGGCGAGTAAGGGTCGATCCCAGGAGGAGCAGGAACTAAGTCGTGACAATTTTCGTATTAATTGAACTAAACTAAGAAAGCAGTAAAATGGGGGGTTTGGTTTTATAAAAATAACAAAAGAAAATAAAATAAAAATCAAATAAAATAAGAGAAGTCCAGTTTTTGGTTCAGTATCACCCAATCTAAATTTACCGTTAATCAATTTCGACGCTTTCTTTAAATTGCTAATGAATTACCAACCCTAGCTAACAATAAGCTCTGTTAACCGAATTTTCCCTTACTGATTATTTAATCGAAATAGGCTCTTCGACTAAACCTAACTAGTGGACAACCTAGAATAAGCTCTCTAGATTTAATACACTAGCAGCATTAATTCCTAGGAAAATAGATCAGTCTAAGCAACAGTCGCAAAAGCTCGGACTATTTGACTTATGTTCACGTTACCCTAGAGATGCACGACCCCTAGTTTACTACTAACGAAACAAGACAATAACAATTACGGATTAAAGTCTAGTATCTAGCAGTTAAACTATGAATATTCAACCTAGCTGGCCAAACTAAATCAAACACCATAATTCATAAACACTAAACACAGATAACGTGAATCAACTCATCAACAAAAATAAATACGGCGTCTCAATTAACCAACGATAGAAATAAATCCTTCATTCCATATACAAATCAAAGTTAGGGTTCAAACATCCCCTCAAACTGGATAAAAATCCTAGCCTAACATACTAGTAAAATAAATAAAAAAGATAAAAAAAAAAAGAGATTAGTTATCTCCCTCGTGTGCGGGTGCGGCTTCCCTCCGCGTGTGTTCTTTTCCCCTCTCTGTTGCTCTATGTCCGTGTACTCTGTTTCTTTTTCTGCTTTGTCCCGTAAATTAATTCCCGTGTGGCTCTTTTTTTTTTGTAAATAATGTCTCTCCCTCAAATAAATCACTTTTAGAGTCCAGCCAATTCAATCCTCTTCTGCTTGATTTCCTTTCAAATTCTTTTCCTGGCTGCGTGACATGAATTTTGCTTATTTGTAAAATAAATCCTTCCAATTTATTTCCCCTCAGCCCTACTGTGTGGATATCCTCTCTAAATCTGATTAGGAGTTCAAGTATAATGTCCCAATAGATTATGGACTTTGATTTTTCATCACTTGGGCCTTAATTCGCCTGATATCTGGGAAGGCGATAATTTATCGCGTGAACTCTCAACAATGGCTTCACGTCTACAAAATACTTCAATGAACTAAAAATACATATAAAAATATTAATGTGTATGAATCCATTCAAATAATAAATAAGTCAAAAAATACAAATGTGCGAATAAATTAAGCGTATAAAAATACACTATTAAATATATAAATAATGCACATTTTTCGACCTATCACTTAATTAGAAGTTAATAAATTAAATTTGATTAATAATTAGCTTAATAATTGTTAAAGTTGTTAAAAAAAATCCGTGCACGTTGTTAAAAAAAAAAGCAAAAAAAAAAAAAAAAAAA